CCAAAGTGGCTATACCATTTTGCATTCCCACCAGCAATGAATGAAAGTTTCTGTTGCTCCACATCCTTGCCAACATTTGGTGTTGTCAGTGTTCTGGATTTCAGCCATTCTAAAAGGAGTGTAGTGGTATCTCATTGTTGTTTTTAAATTTGCATTTCCTTGATGACATATGATGTGGTGCATCTTTTCATATACTTATTTGCTATCTGTATAAAATCTTTGGTGAGATGTCTGTTATCTTTGGCCCATTTATTTATTTATTTTTTTATTTTTTTTTAAAGATTTTATTTATTTAATTTTTTCCCCCCAAAGCCCCAGTAGATAGTTGTATGTCATAGCTGCACATCCTTCTAGTTGCTGTATGTGGGACTCGGCCTCAGGATGGACGGAGAAGTGGTGCCTCGATGCGCACCCGGGATCCGAACCCGGGCCACCAGCATTGCAGCGCGCGCACTTAACCACCAAGCCACAGGGCCGGCCCTATTTATTTATTTTTAAATTGCTTTTTTGAGGTTATATTGGTTTATAACATTGTGTAATTTCAGGTGTACATTATTATATATCAGTTTCTGTATAGGTTGCATTGTGCTCACCCCCAATAGTCTAGTTTTTGTCTGTCACCATATATATGTGCCCCTTTATCCCTTTCACCCTCCCCCACCTCTTTCCCCTCTGGTAACCGCTAATCCATTCTCCTTATCCATGTGTTTATCTTCCACATATGAGTGAAATCATACGGTGTTTGTCTTTCTCTGTCTGGCTTATTTCACTTAGCATAATAGCCCTAAAGGTCCATCCGTGTGGTTGCAAATGGGATGATTTTGTATTTTTTACGGCTGAGTAGTATTCTATTGTATATATATACTACATCCTCTTTATCCATTCATATGTTGATGGGTACTTGTGTTGCTTCCATGTCTTGGCTATGGTGAATAATGCTGCAGTGAACATAGGGATGCATAAATCTCTTTGAATTGTTGATTTCATGTTCTTTGGATAAATACCCAGTAGTGGGATAGCTGGATCATATGGTATTTCTATTTTTAGTTTTTTGAGGAATCTCCATACTGTTTCTCGTAGTAGCTGCTCCAGTGTATGAGGGTTTCCTTTTCTCCACATCCTCTCCAGCACTTGTTATTTCTTGTCTTGTTACTTATAGCCATTCTGAGAGGAGTGACGTGCTATCTCATTGTAGTTTTTTCTCGTTTTTTGTTGAGGAAAATTGTCCCTGAGCTAACATTTGTGTCAATCGTCCTCTACTTTGTATATGGGATGCCACCACAGCATGGCTTGATGAGCAGTGTGTAGGTCTGCACCCAGGATCTGAACCCATGAACTTCAGGCTGCTGAAGTGGAGCACGCGAACTTAACCGCTATGCCACTGGGCTGGCCTCTCATTGTAGTTTTGATTTGCATTTCCCTAGTAATTAGTGAAGTTGAACATCTTTTCACGTGCCTATTGGCCGTCTATATATTTTTTCTTTGGCCGTTTATTTTTTTCTTTTGTTTCCCTTGCCTGAGTAGACATAGTATTTGAAAAAAGTACTGCTGAGACTGATGTGAAAGAGCGTACTGCCTTTGGCACATTTTTTAGTCAGGTTGTTTGTTTTCTTATTGTTGAGTTTTAAGAGTTCTTATATATTTTGGAGAATAGTCCTTTATCACAAATATGTTTTGCAAATGTTTTCTCCCAATCTGTGGATTGACTTCCCATTCTCTTGACGTTGTCTTTCACAGAGTTGAAGTTTTTAATTTTAATGATGTCCAGTTTGTCAATTTTCCTTTCATGGGTTGTGCCTTTGGTGTTGTATCTAAAAATTCATCACCACATCCAAGTCCTCTAGGTTTCTCCTATGTTATCTTCTAGGAGTTTTATAGTTTTGCATTTTACATTTAGGTCTGTGATCCATTTCATGTTAATTTTTGTGAAGGGTGTAAGGTCTGTGTCTAAACTTGTTTTTTTGCATGTGGCTGTTCAGTTGTTCCAGCACCGTATGTTGAAGAGAATATCTTTGTTCCATTGCATTGCCTTTGCTCCTTTGTCAAAGATCAGTTGATCTGTTGATCTGTTCCATTGATCTGTCTATTGTTTTGCCAATATCACGCTGTCTTGAGTACTGTAGCTTTATAGTAAGTCTTTTTTTTTTTTGTGAGGAAGATCAGCCCTGAGCTAACATCTGCCAATCCTCCTCTTTTTGCTGAGGAAGACTGGCCCTGGGCTAACATACATGCCCATCTTCCTCCACTTTATATGGGACGCCGCCACAGCATGGCTTGACAAGTGGTGCGTCAGTGCACTCCCAGGATCTGAACCGGCGAACCCCGGGCTGCCACAGTGGAGCGCACGCACTTAACCGCTTGCGCCACTGGGCCAGCCCCTATAGTAAGTCTTAAAGTCAGTTAGTGTCAGTCCTCCAACTTTGTTCTTCTTCGATATTGTGTTGGCTACTCTAGATCTTTTGCTTCTCCATATAAATTTTAGAATCAGGTTATGGATAGCCATAAGATAACTTGCTGGGATTTTGATTGGGATTGCATTGAATCTGTAAATCAAGTTGGGAAGAACTGACATCTTAACAACCAAAAGCTGGATTTTTTAACTCAGAGTTGTTCACACTGCCCAGCAATTTGTCAGTTATAGTTCAGGTTTTCCTACCCAGGCACTGGTTCTCACAGTGGTTTCTGGTCATGAATCTCTGTTCCAGTCAGCCATGACTCCCTGTTGTTTGCCTGTCTTACTCTCCAACACTGGAGGGTAGTGGTTTCCCTGTGTGCTCCCCTCTCTTACGGATCCAAGAAGAGTTGATTTTTCAGTCTGTCCAGCCCTTTACTTGTTGGGATGAAGTGGCAACTTCCAAGTTCCTCACGTGTGGGACCAAAAACCAGAAGTCAGTGATTTTTTTTTTAAAAAACATTATTACATCTCATAATTTTGTGTCAGGAACTTGAGCAGGGTTGAGATGGGCAGTCATTCTGCTCCATATGACATCAAGTGGCATCAGATGGTAGCTGGATTGTTCTGGACCATTTTGTTGTTGTTGTAAATTACAGATAAAATTTACTATTTTAAAATGTACAATTCAATGGCATAAAGTACATTCACAAGGTTGTGCAACCATCACAGAACTATCTGTTTCTAGAACACTTTCACTCTCCTAAAAGTAAACTCCATTAGCAGTCACTCTCCATTTCCCTCACTCCCCAGCCTCTCACAACCAGTTGTCTACTTTCTGTCTCTATGGATTTCCCAGTTCTTGCTATTTCATATAAATGGAATCATGCAATATCTGCCCTGTTTTGTCTGGCTTCTTTCACTTAGTGTAATGCTTTCAATGTTCATCCATGTTGTAGCATGTATCAGTACCTCATTCCTAACAATGTATGAGGGTTCCAATTTCTCTACATCCTCAATGTTTGTTATTTTGTTTCTTTTTGATTGTGACCATCCTAGTAGGTGTGAAGTGCTTACTGTGGTTTTGATTTTGCAAATTCCTAATGACTAATGATGTTGAGCATCTTTTCATGTACTTCTTGGCCACTTGTATGTGTTCTTTGGAGATATGTCTTTTCAAATTCTTTGCCTGTTTTTCCTTAGATTGTCTTTTTGTTGTTGAGTTGAAAGAATTGTTTTTATATTATGAATACTAGATGCTTACCACATGTATACTTTGCAAATATTTTCTCCCATCCTGTGGGTTGTCTTTTCACTCTTGATAGTCCTTTGATGCACAAAAGCTTTTAATTTTGATGAAGTCAAATTATCTATATTTTCGTTTCGTTGCTTGTGCTTTTGGTGTCATATTTAAAAATCCATTGCCAAATCCAAGGTCATGAAAGTTTACTCTAAAGTTTCCTTCTAAGAGTTTTATGGTTTTAGCTCTTATATTTAGGTACTGATTTATTTTTAATTTTTGTATATGGTGTGAGGTGAGGGTCCAACTCCTGTTATTGCTTTCTAGTTTGACTCCATTATGTCAAAGAAGATATTTGTATGATTTCAATATTTTAAAATGTATTAAGACTTGTTTTGTGGCTTACTATATGGTCAGTCCTGGAGAATATTCCATGAGTACTTGAGAAGAATATGTACTCTGCTGTTGTTGGGTGGGGTGTTCTATAGGTGTCTACTAGACCTAATCGGTCTATGGTGTTGTTCAAGTCCACTGCTTCCTTATTGATCTTCTGACTAGTTGTTCTATCCATTACTGTGCTGAGCCTAAAGATTAGCCAGAGGTGAAATCTTATGGCCTTTTCAGGTCTTTTCTGACTCTGAGTCCTGCCCCGGGCAAGCACGTTTTTCTAGATACCCAGGTATACTTGGGAGCATTTTAATGCCCTTATTCCCTAAAGTGTCCCACTCCCCAGTTTTTCCTTCCAGGATGTTGGCATGTCTATTGTTTGCCATAGGCAGGAGCAGCTTCTTCACTTGCCTTTCAATGTTTTTGAGGAACATCCTCCACATAGCCACTTCTCCATCCTAAGAGAGTTTAGAGTGAGGTGAAAACAAGAGCAATCGATCCGCATGTGTCAGTCCTTCAGGGAGCCCCCGGGACAGGTTCAAACGGACAAACACAATTCCTTGGGAATAAGGTCCACTCTCCTCCTTGCAGAACCAGGAACCCACACCTTGATGCAGGCTGCCATCTTTAAGACCACGGCTATGCCAGAGAGGGGGATGGGCAAGAATAAGTTAAAATGCCACAAAACATTCCTATCATGTTTCAATGGCTTGCCTCCTGATTCAGCATTTGCTTGGTTGCTGTAAACCTTTGAATATCTTCCAAAGTTCCAGTAAACTTGATTCTGACCATTTTTTCCTGTGTTTTCAGTGTTTCTGGAGAGGGATTGACCCAACCCCAGAGTACCCTACTCTGCCATTTTCACCAACATCACTCAGTTCTGTGAGTGACGTTTTGAAATTTAAACCCTTATGTTAACATCTTAATTTAATAATGTGCACTTTTTTTCCTGAAAGGAATAACAAATCACAAGAAAGACAAAACTAGAAATTTCTCTAGTATTAACGAAGTTGCGAAAATCAATAAAATGATTTATTTTATATATGCAAAGTCAAAATCTCTTTGTACACTTAAATTTCTGCAGATTAATACAAACATAACAATACTGCTCCATATAAACCTTTGTATAAACATTAAAGGAAATATATACATAATTTTTTCTTTTAGTGCTTCCAAAGCACAGAATATACAAGTCCACCTGAAGCCTTTCTGTTGTCACATGCAAGAACAAATGTCAGGGGTTGGGGCAGCCTCAGGTGCACTTGGTAATGTCTCTAGACAAAATAGAAGAGAGTTGGAGGTAGATTGCCTGGTGACTCTCCCTGCACCCTCCCACAGAGAAATAAGTTACCTGAATAGCAGCTTTCTTACTCTTTGATTCAAACTGTCCTGAATATCGCATGGTTTAAAAGGCACAGCTAGGAACTGTTGAAAACTTTGTTCAGCACACACAAGATTACCAGTTGGATTCTGAACACCTATTCTTTCTCAAGGACGTAGTAAGGACAGCAAGTAGTGCTCCACTTGCTGGTGGCCCCTAGTCACTGGGGAAAGGCCTGGAACGGCAAAGTTCAAATGAGTGAACCCTTATCACCTGTGGTGGCGTGGCAGTGTTGACCGCATTTAACCTGCTGAATTTATAAGATCATCTTCCTCAATGAAGAAAAGAAACAACAAAACAACAAATTAATACTTTCGAAGAGAACTCTTGGGGCAAAAGCCAGCTTTTACTGTCAGAGAATCACAAAATGAAAAAGGTCCACTGCTTTTTCTTAGCCCCTGGAAAACAACTCCCTTGACCAAAACATTCTAGGAAGCTTCAACAATATGCTGCTCCATCCCACAGCACAGACAACTTGTCCTTTTTTCTCCTTGGTCTTTGCATTAACATGATGATCTGCTGTTGATGTGATTGACATCGTTCAGAAGGTGATGGGAATCTATTTTTTCTAGTACCTTCTCAAGGTACTGAATTAAGACTCGTCTTTTAAACCTAAAAATAAAGAGAAATTTTACTAACCAAGAGATACTTAAAGCACTTATGTACAAGGCAGTATGCAGGGTACAAAGTAGAACTGACAATCTCCATGGGAATAGAAAATGTATCCTCATGTCAAGATAGGGTTTAGCACATACTACCAGTGCCAACCGAGGGTCCAAGCCCACCTCAGACTGTGGTGAGCATAGAAGGTTCCATAGACTTGGATGAATGAGTTGGACTCAGATAATATCAATCTAAATGCCTCTGGAGACAGCCTTAACTGTGAGTGAGGGCCAGGGTTTGAGAAAAACAAGGCAGAGCCTATTCTTCGCCTTGTCTTGCGTTGGGCACAACTGCTTAAAAACAAAAAAAAGAGCTCCTCTTTGCACTCACCTTGCAGCCTCCTTGATGGTAAATTCAACAAACTGTTTCTTGACTGCAAGAGGTCCTTGCACTTCTTCAAGCAAAATGAAAATTCTTTCATACTCTGCAGATATTTAAAGAAAAAGCTTCAGTATTTTAAAAAATATGAATGGGAAGTAAAATTCATTCTTTACACATCCTCAGTAATCATTCTTCATGGGCGAAAAGTTAGACATAGTCTGTAATTTAAACACTCAAATCAAAACATCTGCACATAACTACTAAGGGAACTCTTGTAAACAATAATCAAACGTGATAGACTGAATAATGGCCCCAAAGTTGTCCAGGCCCTAATCTCTGGAGCCCGTGAATATATTACCTTATAAGGAAAAAGGGACTTGACTTTGCAGATGTAATTAAGTTATGGATCTTGAGATGGGCAGATTATCCAGGTTTATGCATGTAGGCCCAATGTAATCACAAATATCCTTATAGAAGGAAGGCAGTAAACTTAGAGTCAGAGAGAAAAGATGTAAGGATGGGAGCCGAGGTTAGGGAGGACAGAAGGTGCTAACATTGCAGGCCTGAAGATGGAGGAAGGAGCCATCAGCTAAGGAATGCAGGCAGCCTGTAGAAGCCAGAAAAGGCAAAGAAACAGATTCTTCCTAGAGACTCTAGAAGGAATGCTGGCCTGCCAACACCTTCATTTTAGCCCAGTGAAAATAATTTCAGAATTTTGACTTCCACAACTGTAAGATAATACAGTTTTGAGCCACAAAGTTTGTGGTAACTTGCTACAGCAGCAAAAGGAAACTATTACAACAAGTAAGGAAAAAAAGAGAAAAAGGTGTGCTGGGTCTTTTTAATTAAGCAAGAGGAATCGCTTTAGATTATGTGAAAACCCAATACTTCCCAAAAATGCACCTGAAGAGATGGCTTGAGGCTATTCTGAATCACAGAATGGGAGAGACCTCCCATTACATTATTGATAGATGTTCTTTCACTACTTACTTCGTCCAAATTTTCGAACTTCCTTCATTAACTGATGTTTTATATCAGCATTGATTCCTTGTGCCATAGCAGGAGTTATTTGCAATCTATTTGGCATAGCTCCTAAAGTAGATGTTACTGAGACTTTTCGATCATCTACGGAGACAGTACAGTTTTTGGTTCCTCCCACAAGTGCATTACTACCAGGTTTGTGAATCAGGCCATCTTTCCTGAGACTCATGAAGTCATCAGACAGAGAATCCAATGGGTTGGGTGGAATCCCATCTCCCGCCATATTCATCAGCTCTGGTGCAGCAGATTTTGACAAGAAGCCATCAGGTGGGGTTTGACCATTTTCCATCTTCTCCTCATGGACTTCATGAATGACAGTAACATCTGAAAATCAAATTAAGAAGTTGAGCTGTGAGGTAGGTGCATTATATCAACCCCACAGGTAGATCCCGGTGCCCCTCAGTTTTGAGGAAATTGTTTCATAAAACAAAAGGATGTACCAGATGGAGTCTGAGACCCCTCAAATTGAGCTCAGGAAGGTAAAATGGCAAAACCACTTTTTTCTCTCCATGGCACTATGAATGCACATGGAAACTAAGTAAGATAGTATAGCTAATAAACATTCTCAGATCCCTGGCACTCCTGGTCTAGTGGCAAGCTGAAAAGCAGCAAGTCTCACTTGATATCATGATTTCTATAATTTACCCATAAAACGCCATGCTATACTGAGCTTGACACCAGACTATGTAAGCCCCCCTCAACCTCCCCCCTCTCTACATCAAAAGTTCTAAGAAAACAGAGGTGGCCATTAGGTCTGAAGGCTCTACATGTACTCGATCACCAAAAATCCTTGTCTGTCTATGATTCTCACTATTCTCTTCTGTGTCAAAGAAGTGGCTTTCTTTTTACTCCAAGTCTGACACCTCTACTTCATTTACTCATCTCCTCTGTGCCAGGCACTGTGCCAGGAGCTGGTGGATGGGCAGTGAACAAGACAGAAACGACTCCTACCCCTGTGGAACTCACATTCTCATGGGGGATGTCAGACAGTAAGTGCGCAAGGAGCAAATAAAATAATTACATTTTGAATTCATGTTAGGGAAGAAGCAAGCAGGGGTGTGACAGAGAGCAGGAGAGGAAGCCCCCATGGACCGCATGGTCCAGCAGGGCCTTCTGTGGAGGTGTCCTTTGGGCAGAGCTTGGAGGAAGAGAAAGAGCCGGCCTGTGCACACACAGAGGAAGAGTGCCAGGCTGCAGCAAGGGCAAGTGCAGGGCCTGTAGGAGGAGCTGAGCCGGGACCATAGAACAAAGGACACAGACAGACAGAGCAAGGAGGAGACCCACAGGACATGAGTTAGGAGAGGGTGGCAGGGCCAGGTCGTGCAGAGCTTATAGACCATAGTGGGGAGTTCAGATTCTGTTCTGAGTGCATAAGAAAGTTGATGATGGGTTTTCAGGATAGACATGGCGTGATCTGATTTCCATGTTGACATGATTATTCTGGCTGCAGGGCAGAAAATGGGTTAAATGAGAAGATGGGAAGCAGGGAAATCAGATAAGAAGCTATTGTAGTAGTGTGGTGACAGATGATGGCAGCATAGACTAGAGGAATGGAGAGAAACGGTAGGGTGCAGGATTTTTATTGGTCGTCAAGTGGCCTGGACTTGCTAATGGATGGAAGTGAGAGAATAAAAGAGAAACAATGGTGACTCTAAGGTTTTCACCTGAACCACTAGGTAAATAATTGTGCCAGGGGGGTGCAGGTGCCAGTGCACAACTGCTCATGAGAGTGGACTGTGTCCAGCTCTTCCCGATCTGGTTCAGTGACCTCACGTTGATAGCTTGACATCGATAATGTTGGCATTATTTACACTGTGGAAATCTGCAAACAGTACAATCCAGGGCTTCTCCACCCTCCCAACCCCCACACCTGTGGACAGTTGGCTGTTACAGTGTTACCACCCGATGGTGTCCTTAACTGCACTGGGGAAGGCTGCAGGTTGAGTTGTTTTGAAGGGAGGGGAGGTCAGGAGTTCAGCTGAAACACATGAAACCTACTGAGTTTTATGTCTGTCAGACACCTAAGTAGAGATACCATGTCCACAGTTAAATTTGAGTCTCGAGTTTGGAGCAAGTTGTAGTCTAAAGGTATAAATATCCAAGTCGTTGACATGTAAATCTTATTTAAAGCCCCAAGCCTGCATGGGATCACCTAGGGAGAGAGTGCAGTGACAAGGAGTGGGTCCAGGATCGAGCCTTGGGTCCCTGCACTATTTAGAGGTGGAAAGGAAGGGAAAAGCCAGAAAAAGAGGATGAAAGGGGTCTCCTTTATATTAAAGGGAAAAGAAAACCAGGAATTTGTGGTGTCTGGGAGCCCAAGAAAGTTTCCACGGAGGAGGGAGTGAACGACTGTGTCAAATAATGCTAAGAAGAAACGGGAACATGCGGCAGACACTGGGGACCTTGATGAGAGATGTTGCAGTGGAGTGGAGGAGGCAAGGCCAGATTGCACCGGGCTAGAGCATGAAGAGGAGATGAGGACATAGAGAGCCAGTGCAGACCCATCTCTTTATTGATCCCATTTGCCCCTACCGCCTCAGGAACCTGCTTTATCATTCTGACTTGTGCAGCAAAGCCAAATAGCTGCATCTCATTAGGCCTTGCCCTGGCAAAGCAAACATGTTCACACCTCCATTTCTCCATCTTGTGTTAATTACTATATAGATATGGATATTTTCCCCCCTCATATAGACTGAGATCCTTGAAACAGGGTCTCTGCTCCCCACAGGGCCCTTTGTACCTACCACATCGATGGTTTAATAATGGTCTACTTAATGAACAGGAACTGAATACAAAATAAATGAATAGAAAGGAAAATAAAATTGTTTAGTGTCTTAGTCCTCTAGGAGCCATAAGGAAATCACAACCACTACTCTATACCTGTGTGTACAAGGGTGGGTTTTATGAGGTTTGGATAAGATGGGAACCACGAGGCTGAGGGTGGTCCCTTTCCGCCCACATGGTTAGTTACAGTAGGTGGTGTTTGTGGTTTCCTCAACAGCAGGGACATACTCCGCCTTCTCTTAGATGACAGAGGACTGTTGGGTTCTCCAGGACGTTTCACTTTGTTTTGTGGCCCTGCTACAAACTCATCTGCTTCATCAATCATCATTCCCTAAAAAACATCAATGAACACATTCCATTAAACATAACACTGCAAGCACTCTTCATAGGCAGACACAATCATGCATTATATCACCCATATAGGTCTTAATCATGGGCCAAAGATTTACCAGGGCCCACACGGACTCTGTTCAGAAAATGCTACTCAATTTTAACCCAGTGTAAGTGGAACAAGGAGGAAACTAAAATATAAGGTGCTGTCCAAGGTCAAACATAGTACAATCATGATTAACCAGAAAGCTTAGGAAATAAGCAATTTTCATCAATCAAAATTGGAATAAACCCACAGTTACCTTTCTGAAGAAGTACAAACGATTTTGAATCAACCCTTGGTATGGGAAATAATTCATTTTTGTGTGTTTTGTGCTTTAAACTCATTAAGAAATATTGATTATCACTGTACAGAATGCTGCATGTAGATGGTGAAGGGCAGGTAGATGGAAAATGTAATGCCCCCAATGGCAACCTCAGAGAGATTCAAATATGTCCACCTTGGTGCTGGACAGAAAGGAGGGGGCTTTTCACTCTTGGGGGTAGATAAAAGATGAGAGCCACCAGTATAGAAAGTTAGCTAACAGCTGCTCTCATCCAAGGATAACCCAAGAATATGCGCTCCCATTATCTGAATAAAATCATGATAAATGACTTTTCCAAGGCATTTTCCAAAGCAAAATAGTACAGAAAGGGGAAAACATATTCACTGAGCATTTACTATGTGTCAGGTAATGTTCTAAATGGCATACATGTGCTAACTCGATACTCCACAGAGCTCTATTAGTTAGGTATAATAATTATCCACTGTGCTATAAGTGAGGGAACCAAGACACAGAAAGATTAAGAAAAACTCCAACTGATTGAGGATTGGGGTGAGGTGGAATACCTTTCACGGTCTAGTATTGTTACGGAAGAGATTATTGCACAGTCTGCACCTTAATACCAATGGTCTCTTTCACGAGTGCAGATATAATTCCCATTTGTCTCCCTGCTTCAATGGTCAAGTCAGTATATCTTTCACATACACACACACACACACACACACACACACATATTTAGATCTCTAGTAGGACAAACCAAATAAAGCAACATCACCTAGTACTTCATATTTCAAGAGAAGCACTTCATCACTGTCTAGATAGAGCACTAAAGATCTGAATAATGGAAAGAGAGGAAATGAACGGTGATCTCAATATTAAAGGAATTAGTGTGTGGAGGTGGAAATGAATACACTCTGGAGCTGGAAAGATGTGGGTTCAAAGCCTGATTCTTATCAGCTGTGTCAGACAGGGTAAGCCATTTGACCACTGCCAGCCTTGATTTCTTCTTATTAAAGGGCAGATAGTAATACTCATCTGAAGAACGCTTATGAGCATTAAATGTGATGATTTAAGACCCCAGCTTCTACTAGGCACTCAATAAATGTCAGCTATTATTTTATTCAACCAACACACTCTTGCATCAGGAGGCTACCACTTTCCATTCACAAAGAGCCCTGGAGTCATATTTTATCTTTTAAACAAACAGAAGGAGAACCTCTGATTTATATCCATCTTGTCAAGACGAAAGGAACTATAGCATGAATATCACAATTTAGGCAGAGATAGAAATGAGTATCCTACCTTCTTATCTTGTTTAAATGGATTGCCAAAAGTATGTAGTCTTTTTGGTTGATCTGGATCAATCTCTCGAAGTGGAGAAGCCAATGTCTTCAGATATTCCTGATAGTTACCCATTTGTGCAACTGGAACACTATGAAGGGAATCTGCAAAATCACCGGAAAAGAAACAGATGTTATACAGCTGAAGTGTATGGTCCTTTTGAGAGGACATGATCATAGTTTGGCTTAGCAATGTGTATCTTAGCATCCAATAGTCTAAAATCTCGAATCTAGCATTCTAGGATCTAAAATCATCTCTCTTCATCCCACTCATTACTCAGTCTACCATCACTACTGCTTACAAGCTCAAATCACTAGGCCAGGAACAACTCCCTTACTCTTCAAACGAGGTTTGAGGATGGGCTGATATCCCTTATACCACCATCCCAACTCAAAACACCGTATTTGTTCTGTGTTTCGAAGAGCCTAGGCTCTGTGGTTTTCTCTTATCATCCAGAGAACTTTGGTTAGTGGGCCTTACCCTCTTGGAGAATTTGATTAAATCTACAGGCTCTCTTCCTAGAAAAATCCGTCCTTCCCCACAAAACTTCGTGTATAATTTCAAGAGGTTGGCCAGGCTAAAATTTGCTCATTTTAATGGACAAATGACCCTGTTCAAAATGGACAAAATGGAATAAAGGGGAATTGTACACCATCACCAGTTATCCTGAACACTATCAGGTTCATTCTTTTCATGTAAATGAGGAATTCTGGATTGAATTCATCACAGTAGGCCAGGCGGGATAGTGTTGAGGTGTGCAATTTCCCAAATCTGACAAACCTGGGTTCTGCAACTTTCCAACTCACGAAGTCTGGGCAAACTACCAAAATGCTCACTCTCAGTTCCCATGTCCATAAAATGGGCATAAAACCATTATCTTTCTCATGGGGCTGTTTTGAGGCTTACAAGAGCTAAAGCACGATGATTAATATATGCACTGATTAATGCACATTTCTCCTTAAACCTGAGAACAATGAACTTGTGCCTGGGTAGACGTAGGGATTCAGTGAAAACAGGCATTCCAAAAATAAAAGTATTGCAAAATAACCTATTCGTTATGTAATAAACACCTTCGTGTAAATCAGGCTGGACATTTTCCTAATCAACAAAAAGTGCTTTGCTCATTTACCTTCATCTTGTCCAACAATAAACTTGTGTGTTTTCAGCAGATTGGACCTCATTCTGGTTAACTGGTCTAAAAGACCTCTACGTGGAATATCATAGGCATTTCTGTATGTTTGAGGTTTCAAATCCTATTTGAAATGAAACAAATAATTTCAGTTACTCCTGAGGCTTTTAATATAGAAATGTAATTCTTAACCCTCTTATCTTAGCGAAGAGAGGGATACTCAATACATCTAACTTCAGTAGAATTTTCCCAGTGGAAAATTTACCTGCGTTGGCCTTGTTCTGAATTCTAATACACCCACAAAGCATTAAAGCCACAGAGAATATCCTTTTTGAAGTATGTGATTTAAAACACCAAATCCTGAGATTTATGCCTGTGGCACCTTGCAGGTCCACTGCTTGCAATCGAGATGCATTCCTCTGGTAGCCATGGAGGGGAGCTGCTGGGACCTCCCTCCAGGAAGCAGTGGCTGATCCTGCAAGCAGTGCAGTTAGCTGAGCGCCTCCAGCTGCAGTGCCTTAGGGATCCGCTGCAGCACATGAGCCGAGGCCATGCTCTTCCCAGGCTGCCACCCGCCAGTGACTGCGAAAGGTGGGGGGTGTTAGGGCCTGGCCACTTCTGCCCAACATGGACCTCCTTTATGGGAAATCTTGGTGCCAGAGGTCCCTGTTAGGCTGGCCAAGACTTTTTCTACAAGCTGCACTGCTGCCTGAGGCTCTTCATATCCAATCCTCCTTCCTTGCCCCCTCCTCTCATGGCTACTAGATCAGCATTGTGGCCTGAAACCTCCCCCTGCTTACTCCTGTTCCCTATCCCCTTTCTCTTTCACAGACATTACCCCTCAAACATATCTTGTACATTTAATCCCATATTGGCGTCTGCTGGCAGGACAATTCCTAGTCCGGTCCATTAATAATGATGAAGTCCAACAGGATGGTAAGGATTTCAAAACTAAAGTAATACGAAAGACATAAATGTATCTGACAAATTCAAGCAAATACAAACTATTTATGTCACAATTTACCTTGTTTAAGAGCCCTACTTGGAAGCCAGCAAATTCTTTGGTATTCAATTCTGTCAGTCTCGGTGCAGTTTCCCCTATGATTTCTTTCAATAGTTTTCTAAAATTTTTACTGTGAGTCAAGGACACGCCACCTCCAGAATGATTTTTCACTTTGATTCCAATTTCCTGGGGAGGTTTCTTCCCCACTGAGGCTAGTATTCGTTCTGACTCTAGTTTGGTCTAAAATGAAAGTACATAGTATGTTATGAAGTGATCTATATTATCACTGGTGTTTTTACTACTTAAGAAAGACAATACTTTAAGAACCCCACAGAACAATTTTCAATTGCAAATCACAGAAAAACGGATAATTAAACATTTTCCTGTGCTTCTCTGCACTACCACAGCAAACGGGGAGGGGGGGCTAGAAAGATAAATAAGAATACATTTTTTTCTCTTGTCTAGTGTCAAAATTATGATTGAATCATGGAGAGAATGGAAACCATGGATAAGAATTATATTCATAGACATTTAAAATCACATTTTGTTACTGTAAAATCTAGTCTAAGTCAACATATTCATTTCGAACCCAGACATAAAGGTTTAAGACTTTGTATTTATAAATGTAAACTAGCGCTAAAATTCAGATTACATAGATTGGCCTTATATCTGAAAAAAATTAAACTGTTTATTCTTAATATTGAACCATCCAAAAAAAAGTAATGTTTAATTTAACAAATATTACCAAGTAAATAATTTGTAATATGTGCTCAATAAGTTTTTTACTAACAACAAAAAGGTCCTCTTAAAAGATACTATTATACCATATTGGTAAATATTACTTGAGAGTGTATTGTAGCAATATATTGGGCATAGTTTTTGATTTACCCACATTCTGAGATGGTTCAAGGAACACTGGTGACATAGAGTTATTAAATTAGTAATTAGAGCTATTATAAATTAGTAATAATCTTTTCTTTGTCTCTAAAAGATGAAATTCCACCAATGTCCAGTAAGCCCAAAATAATTTTGAATTTCTTGTGGTTTGATCAGAGATATTCATTAATTTTTGCTACTTATTGGAATTAAGTATGTTTATTATCTTTAAAAAAATTAAGTCATGAAAAAAGGGATAAGAGCAAATGAAGGGTCTGTTTCCATAAATGGTCCTGAAAGCCCATTTATAAAACTATACAAGCAATGTGTCCCAGAAGGTCCCAGAACCTGCATGAGTTTCAACTCTGTTCACTATTCTTCCTTGTGGCCATACCCTGCCGACACAGCCTTAAAGGCCTAAGGTAAACATCAAATAAAAAATATAAATCAATAGATCAATCAATAAATAACCAAAACAAAACATTAACAACAACAAAAATCTATTAGCAGAGAGGAAAAGGGGTTAAGGGGACACTCGGTAGATCAGAAATCTGGGTTTGCCTTTACTTTCTTCTGCATTTCTGAGCCCACAGGACTGGTAGGAACTGGTAAACTCCAGATCGTACTTAAGTTTTTGCCAGTTCCTAGGAAGGTGTGTCAGCTTCCCAATTGTGGAGTCATTTTGGTTCTTTAGTGAAATCTGACACGTTTTTGCTTACTACTCTCTGTTTTCTAAAGGCCCGACTTCTAAACATATCCAACTTGAAGCATTATAATCACTGCAAATGCTCCTACCGTTCCCTACCTGGGAATACATTTGTGCGTGAGAAGAAAAGGAAGCTGCTGCATTAATTTGTCATATAACATAACACATTCGCATGGCAGTAAAGCTCTAACTCAGTAGTTCTCAAACATTTCCATCCTGCAAGAATGGGCTAGGTAGAGGTGAGAAGTATGATAAGTAGGGGTGAGTGGAGGATGAGGTACTAATAGAGAGGGGCAGGCAAGGGACAAGGTGAATAATGGTGAATGAGGTGGGGGTATAAAGGAACAGATGGAGGGCAAGAAGAGAGGAGGTCGAACTCCACTCTTCAGGTCCCCTTGGGGCCTATCAACCTCCAGTTTGAAGAACACTGGTCTCATCTCCCCCTCTCCAAGAAAAAGCATACGGATATTTATTGCCTAAAAACTAATTTCAGGCAAGTCATTTCATCACACCATGCCTCAGTGTGCTGACCTAAAAAGGGAGGATGCTCTAGCCCAATGTGATTTGAGGAGAAACTAGGTTGAAGATAGACAAAATGTGACCCACGAGATAATTCTATTAAGCCTCTGCCCCTCTTAGGCCACAAAATATCAACCAGCTTGTGGGTAGGACAAACTGGCAAGAGAAAGGAGAAATGGCACAGCATCAAATGATACTGACAGACCCTTAACTGCAGTTTAATGGTGAAGCTAGAAGCCATAGAGAATCACATTATTACTAATCCATAAAGTGTAGAAATATATACACATTTAATTTGAAAAATTACAATTACACTAAAGAATAAGGAAATGCACTTCTGAGGGCAAAGGATTTTTGTTTGTTTGTTTTTACCAATACTACCTGTTGGCTGAGTTTTTTAAGGTAAGAGATAACACTGTAACTAAGTCCACAATCTAAATTATCTGATATCAGATTTGGAGCTCCCATCATCCTTAGTGCTTTCTTTAATGGCTATAAGGAAACAAAATACACAACAGTAAGAATAGAATAAATCTTAAAATACTCAAAGTTCAGTTATAAGGGGCAAAGGGACATGATTCATTTCTTAGAAGTCAAGGTGCTGCACATAAAACCAAACATGGAACATTAAAAAGTGGCAATGAAAATAGCAGAGAGGTAAGGAGCAGAGAGTAAAACAATCAGAAGAGAGTGGGATAAGAAGAGCAAGGAATAGCAAATTCAAACAGGTAAATTGCTTTCAGTCTTAGTACCCAAGTCAGAAAATCAGTTCACATTGCATTTTATTATGCACCCCATTCCTGCCATGGTAAATACTAACACACCCCAATTTCTCTTCCCAGTGACACCAATGGTACCATCTGCCTTTTCACCTCTAGAAAGTTGGCTTAAAGTTTACCACATCCACCTCTGAAATGATTTTGATCATCTTGATTTAGATTATATGATCAGTTCAAAATCATCATGAATATTTTTCTCAAATTGTAAGAACCCAAATGAGATCAAGTAATTTTTTACTCTTTTTGGATCTCCCCCACCAGTGCCCCTACTTCAAGCTGTGTCTAGGACACATTTAACAGGGACCAAGTAAATACAATGTCCTCAGAATTTTTTTTTTTCAGAGGGATACCCCATATTGAGAATTTCTAGAGTTAAAAAGGGAAGTTGATATAATGCATGAATCCAGACTTATTTCTCTTAAATTCCAAAATTACACTTTCATAACGTTAGTTTTAATAAGAGAAACCTAGATGTGTTTTATAAAAATAACCATGGCAGTTAAAAGAAATAAAATAAAGAAAGCAGTTCTCTTTTGTGCCGCCATGACATCTGCAAGCTCTTACATAATTTGAGAAGACAATGGTGACACAAATATTTATAAATAAAAAGAAATATCTCATTTCAGGGATAAAGTTTTTGGTTCATTGACATTTCTTGTGACAAGAATCATCATTGATACAGTTAATACATATATACACGTAAATACATACTAATAAGTAGTATGGAGGCAGAGTTTTTAAGTAGCCGTCAAAAGCCTGTCTCCACTTCAGATTTGGCTTAAGCTTGTGAACTTTAAACAAGTCATCTGTAAGAGAAAACCAAATAAAATATTACATAATTCCAGTCCTAAATGCCAAGACGTGAATCAAGCCACCCACATCTACTATAACATTTCCTAGAAATCTCAAGTTTTAATTACATTAGATGAACCTTGCATTGCAGTTTATTTGATTGTCTTTTTTGGTACTATTTATCAAAATTATATATAGCATTTTTCTAGAAAATGAAATAAATTCTCAATTTACATATTCCTCTTCTGTCTGTGAAACTACATAAAATATAATATTAAAACACTGGCTCTTATCCATGTGAAATATTTTTCGGACCTGTTACATCTTGGTAACTCTACTGTAGAAATTTTCACCTGAGGGGAAATCCATGGTCACTGGTTGATGGAATATTTCTTTTATTTAAATAGAGGATGTTAAAACAACAACAACAAATGAACTCATAGATACAGAGAACAGATTGGTGGTTGCCAGAGGCAAAGGGGTGGGAGGGTGGGCGAAACGGGTGAAGGTGGTCAAATGGTACAAACTTCCGGTTATAAAATAAATAAGACCTGGGGATGTAATGTACAGCATGGTGACTATAGGTAATAACACTGTATTGCATATTTGAAAGTTGTTGAGAGTAGATCTTAAAAGTTCTCATCACAAGGAACAAAATTTGTAACTATGTGTGGTGACGGAAGTTAACTAGACTTATTGTGGTGATCATTTCACAATATATACAAATATCGAATCATTATGTTGTACACCTGAAACTAATGTAATGTTATAGGTCAGTTACATCTCAATAATAAATAAATAAATAAATAGTGTTATACTTTTTGCTGAAGGGCACGGTAAGAGACTTTACAAAGTCTATGAGAACAAAGGCTAAGCCTCTAACGTCTGGGCAATGACGGCAAGCTCTAAATCATGTTTTGGATTCTCCTTAATCAGCCTATACTTTGTTTAGCCGTATTTGTCCCCTATTCATTCCTTTGATTTCAATGTCAGGCATTTTCAGCCAAACTTTGAATCTCTCAAATATTAGTTAACAATTGGGTGATGGCACTAGTAAAGGCAAGTAGAGATGTTAAGTTGAAGTTCAAAACTCTGTATAACTAAATATGCTTCTTGAATACCACGTGCATTTCCTTAAATAAGCAGATACGCCCTATTTTTCACACTTTAATTATTTTAATAATCTAAATGCATTATATACACTACATGAAAATTTCCAAAACATGTCATTATTTCCTTCTGAGGGTAAGAAAATATATTTTTCTAATATAATAATTCAAAATCGATAACCCCAGACATCAACATGAACTTGCTACACTTACTGTAAACACCAAAAATATTATAAATTCATCCACTATTTTGTTTCTTCAGGTGTTATTGGCTCTTATTAAAAAAAATGCTTTACTTCCAGGGACAAAACCATCCCTATGCCATATGCGTAATTTCTCTACAAGTAGGGCTATTCTTTGAAATTCTGAATTACTGTAGTTAAGGAAAGCAACTACATATTTTCTTCCTTTTACTTCTATAATAAATTATTCATTCCTCCTGAAACTAACTTAAATGAATTTACAAAGTCATAAAATGTAGGTCTTTTGTTCTTTTGGTACATGGTAGAAAGAACAAAGAGAAAAAGGATCTGAAGAGATTTCTGGCTCATTGTAGCATGCAAGTCCTTTAAAGACCATTCATATTTTGACAGAAAGGAATGAGAAATCTTGGAAATATTCTGTTATACTGTGTCTTTATGCGGAGTCTGCTGAGAATTAGGCAGATTTTGGAAACTAACTGACAAATTTAAATACCACAAGACTGGAGAGACATTTAGATATAAATAGATTAGATAATGAGAGTCAATAATAGTCTTAATATTTCTAACAATGCCAATTGCAATGATTCTACCCAGGAGCCAATTTAGTCTAATTATTTCTTGTCAGATATTTTTTTAATGGGGGTGGGAAGAAGAAAGAAAATCTTCCACAGTCAAGATTAAGGGTAGAGAGCTACTGGGGTGACACTGCTTTAGTCACTATCTCTGTAGCTCAGACAATTATTTCCGTGGTATTAGATTTCCATTCACATGGAGTCTCAAGGATGACGCGGTAAAGATATCGTAAATCATTAGCTAATCAACGTCTGAAAGATGAGATGAGAGTGCAGAGGAGAGTAAAATGATACTGCCAACACCTCAAAAACTACCGATACTTTCTCTTCCAGTTCCTTTCTCCCCATTTCCAGCTTCAAAGAGGAGGAAGATGTGGGTTTGAGTCCGAGCTCAGCCACGTACCGAGCTGAGTGAGCTGTGAGAAATCACTTCACCTTTTTGTGCCTCCATTTCAGCTATGACATGGGTTTAATGATAACTGCCTTACCGCACAGGATTGTTCTGAGGAACTAGATTACGTACGCGAAAACACTGTATAAAATGAAAAAAATGGTGTAAGCTGTGAAGCACTGGCTCTATGGTGATTAACACACATTAAATTATCCTCTTTCTATTATTCTCTTCCTCCTCCTGATTGTAACTGGTCTTAACATGGAGCTGAATTTTATTTTTTATGCGAGTCTCCAGTTCTTAACTTACAACAAATAAAACAGGTGAACTGAATGTGGTACATTTAAGAAAAGAAAAAAAGAAAAGTTGCTACAAATGCCCTAATTTCTGTAGTTATTGGCCCTCAATGGAAAAAATAATTTCCTAATTGAGAGATAATCTTCTTGCCAACTGTGCTAATCTGGTTACCACCCAACTGACATGATTCTTATGACGGCTTATTGATCCAATTAAGCCTCACTTATCTATCCCAGGCAACTTTTAGTGCTTAAATACTTAAACCTTTGTTAACTACTTTTGATGGAAATCTTGAATTAATAAAGAGAAAACAGAGGTTGCCTTTATGGACAGTTATTGTAATATGCAGTAATATAGTGATGTTTCCGGACATTATGAAGTGTATGTGACTTAACTTACCTTTTTACCTAGTGCCCTGCCCACTAAAACTGCAAATTTGTCCTTTATCTTTATATTATATCCTTAATATGGAATAGCAGTGTCTTTAAGAGCTACTAAGATAACACAGATATTAATAATGACAATAGTAATAACACCACTAATAGCATTATTGAGCACTTACTATTTGCCAGGTGAGTTCTATGCAATTTAACTGTATTAATTCATTTAATCCCGACTAAATCCTTTTGAGGTAGGTACTGTCATTATCCCCACTTTATAGATGCAATAACTGAGGCACAGAGAGGTTAAGTATCTTACCCAAGTCACAAAGCTAGCAAGCAGCAGAGCGAGGATTCATAGCAGGGCAGCTATGCCCCACAATCCATACTTTTAACGACTATGGAGGCTACACAACCCAGAAAATGAAGTAATGATGGAAATGTTGAGAGTGTCTATTTCAGAACCTCAACATGAAACCCAAGTTTGGGATTCAGAGGCACAAGGACCTCCAGCCTCAAAGCGTGTGAAAAACCCTATGCTCCTTGGAAGACAGGTTATAGAAAAGCCTGGAAATGGATATTTGAAGCCAAAGGGCAGAATGGGAACTGAGTCAAGGATGGGATGGCCTTCAAATGGATGTGTGCGGTTAGGGAAGGAGGAAGAATCAAAGATGCCTCTGGGGTTTCTGGTTTGGGATGTTTGCAAAGGGATGGTGATGTTGTAGGCAGAGTTGGATTCTTGGAGTAGTAGGTTAAGGAGTACCAGGGACAAATGTCATACATGTCTCTCTGGTGACAGAAGATATTTCGGAGAGAAGGGGAACTTCGCATTTGGAGAATAGAGTGAAACAGACTAAGAGGTGACCAGGAAGACAGTGCCAGGATTTGACCTTACATAGTACAGGGGAGTCTGGGAATAGGCAACATGTGGCAACTTAGGCACAGGTTTTAGGCAAAGGAAGAACTGAATCCTTCCTTTTAGCCATTATGCCAGGTCCACATCTGACCTCTATTACTTGCAAGACCAGCAAAGGCCAGGTTTAGAGGGTGGGTCTTGTTGTTAAGTGCTATACATTTCAAGTTCTAACGGGAGACCAGATACTCTAGTAAGGGGCATTTTCATATAACTAAAAGGCAGGCTGAATTTAGACCAAAGTTGAGATCCTGGAATTCGGCCCATAATAGTTCTATAGAACTTTTCCACTGCTCTGAGGTAAGGAGGCCATCTCCACCCCTATGGTGTCAGTGGAGACCATGTGGAGAGAAGTAACAAAAAACTCCTACTTCTCCCAGCCAGGGAGGTATCATTTTAGTGAGGATTCAGAACTGCCACCCTTGCATAGCAATAACAAGGAGCCCCCTCCCTTTCCGTGTCAACAGAGGCCAAGTGGGGAACCTGGACTTCTACCCACTCCTGGCACTTATGAGGTGGTACCTCACAATCTCTGCCAGAGTATGTGGGAGGAAGCCAGCTAAAACAGAAGGTTTAAATAAGATCCAGAGACTCATAACACACTACTGAAAATGTACAGGTTTCAACTGAAAATCACTCATCATACCAAGAAGCAGGAAGATCTCAAAACAAACTCAAAAAGACAATCAAGAGATGCCAACACTGAAATGACAGAGATGTTAAAAATATCAAATAAAGATTTAAAAAGAGCCATCATAAACCAATGTTACTGCAATAAACAAAAAATATAAAAAATAAAAAAAAAAGATTTAAAAAGAGCCATCATAAAAAATGTTTCAACAAGCAATTATAAATAGGCTTGTAACAAATGAAAAAATAGAAAGCCTCAGTAAAGAAATAGAAAGGAAGAAGTAGAAGATATAAAGAAGAACCAAATGGGAATCTTAAAACTGAAAAATACAATAACCAAAATAAAAAGCTCAATGGATGGGCTCAAAAGCAGAATGGAAGTGACAGAGGAAATAATCAGTGAACTGGAAAATAGAACAATAGGACTCACCCAACCTGAATAACAGAAAATAGACCCCCCCCAAAACGACCAGATACATAATTTGCAAATTTTTCCCCATTCCATAGGTTGCCTTTTCATTCTGTTGATTGTGCCCTTTGATGTACAGAAGTTTTTAAGTTTGACATAGTCCCATGTGTTTATTTTTGCTTCTGTTGTCTGTGCTTTTGGTGTCATCTCTCTCTCTTATTATTTCTTACAACTGCATATGACTCTACAATTATCTCAAAATAAAAAGTGTACTTAAAACAGAAAAATAATACTAATAGTCTAAGCAAAGATTACCTAGTCTAAACCTTCACTTTATAATTGTGAAAACTGAGGTCATAAAAGTATATTTAAGAAAAAGTGGTAAATAAATCCACAAAATATAAGTACTTTTTTATTGGTAGTCTTATTAATCTCAAAGACATAACTTATATTTTATATTAGTGACAATCACCTCTTAGATGATATTTTTATTATTTTTTTTTATTGAGGTAACTGCTTTATAACATTATATAAATTTCAGGTGTACATCATTATATTTCGATTTCTGTGTAGATTACATCATGTTCACCACCCAAAGGCTAATTACCATCTATCACCATACACATGTGCGAAGCACCCCTTTTGCCTTCCCCCCTCCCCCCTTCCGCTCTGGTAACCACCATTAGAGGATATTTTTAGATTGGACTACAAAATAAAGTAGATAGGCTATCCAAAACAATCATGCTAATATATTTATGATGACTCATTCTTAACCTTCTTAACTTGCAACATTTAAAAGAATTGCTTTTTCAGTACATTTAATACATACAGCATTTATAGCACTAAAAATCTTAGGCTTCTAATGACTATATTAAAACTCGGTAAAAGTTTGATCCTTTTCACAAAAATTAAGAAACCTTACCAAATAAAAATGTTCGAAACTTTACAGACTAGAAGGATAGCACGTGGTACTGTATTACTCTAAATAGATGTGGTTCTTTAAATGAGAAAAAATCTCCATACACATTTTCAGCGATATCTGAGTAACAGCTTCTGGAGTTGTTCCTTTTAGAATTTTGCCATGGAAACCAGAGCTTCTACAACTACAGTTATTGCAGAATTTACTCTTGTACCTATTGCCTTAACTTGTTACCTTACCTAAAACAGATGCCTCAAGAGCATTTAATATTCTTTTGTGGAAGAATGAGCACAGGCCAATAGCCCCACCGAAGCCTTATTTTCTGAAGAAAACCATTAGATTCTTGGAGCTTTAATCCCAATCAATGGTATTTTTTGGCCCAAGCTAGTCTACGAAAAAGCCAAGTGCACTTAAAACTGGGGGACGGGGGGTCACAGCATTGGAGCTCGCAACGTAAAGAACAGCGGAAGAATCACACACCAGAGGTTAAGTGTCTTTTCTGTTTGATGTAAAAATAACAAGAGGAAAATGAACAAAACATAAAACAGCATGCAAATTCTATCCTTTTTAGGCTTTTATATATCCTAATATCAATTACTCTTTGACTACATTTAAAATGCTTAGTCCACTATTCTTCATTTTTGTTGATTAAATGATGATTAAAGATGATTAAATGGTACACGCTTTACTTACCTAAAAGAGGGAGTAAAACTGGGTAGTTGTAGGGCATCACAAAGAGGTTTACACAAGTCAAAGTCGTACTGGCTTTTAAATAACCAAATGGATATCCGAGTTCATTGTATTTCCCACTGCTAGTAACAAATACCTAAAAAGAACATGAAGTAACGCAGTTATGACAATAAGGATTCTATATGAAACCAAACTCACGACAACATTCCACAGTGATATCTATGGCACAATTTAATTGCACGTCATTTAAAAATGGGAATAGAGCTTTTAACCTAGGGTTATGTCAAAATACATCATACTAAATAAGAATGTTCAGATTGCAATTCTTTTATAAATTATATTAAAAAATGAAACTGTACTGTGCAATAACCATTCAGAGACCACAGGCTACATCAACAATACCCAAATATTTACTTGGTTAGCACGATGGAAAATAAGGCTGAAATACGGCTAAGCGATACCACACATTAAAAGAAACCGACTTCTCAAAAGAACAAGTGGTGACCAGAGTGGAGACTTCTAGGAAAACGGAACATGGTCCCACAAAAACACAGCCAATTTAAGAGATCATGCTAACACTCCTCATGTGTACTACTATTAAATCTTGTTGTACTTCCCTTCGATGCACCATTCCCCTACCCATTTATTCATTTTTCATCCAATAAATATTTGTTAAGTAGGCTATTATAAGCCAGCCACTGGTGCTGATTATTTTGAGATAGCAAGGAGATGCTTTGGTTCAATCTGGAAGGCATTTTCTCTTGTAAATTATGCTGGAAGAGCAAACTTTCAATCAAGATGAAAACATTAATCTTTATTCCATATGACTATCATCTTATTCCTTATTGATATTCCTGATTTGATATGTATTATATTGTCAGGTCTCATACACTTGACATGCTGTGCTGGAGTCCTCTAGCCACCATGTTTTCTCTGTGTTCCCTGTTCACTCTTTGCCCCAAATCAGGGCACCAGTATATACTTTTAGAGACCTAGACCTTTGCCTTTTCCAAAGTCCTTCAGCAGGATCACTTAAAACAAAAGTCAAACTCTGATGGTAAACAGAATCCATTTACCTTGCTAATTCCTGGTACCAGCAATATCACCTACCAGGTCACTAAATTCTTGCTATATTTAGTTATAGCTAAGGATAAATCTTTCCTATGTAATTTATGACTCCACAAAACAATGAGTTGTGCTAAAACATGACTCATCTACTAGATTTCATGTCTTAATTTGAACCTTCATAGAAACAGATAACTGAAATAAAACATGTTGGATTTCCCCGTATTTCCTAAGTGTGTATAATAAAAGTGGGGGGGATGATCATAAAGGAGAAAAAAGTTACATACAGCCCTCAAGGGTCAGACCTATGATTCACATGAAAGGAACAGCACTGGGTTTTATTCCTCTCTCACTCTCTTTCTCTCTTTCTTCCCTCTCTCCCTCCCTCCCTTCCTTCCCATAAGTCCCTTGAGTTTTTCCAAATTCCTTATCACCTGCAGATTCATAGAATTTAGGGGTTCCGAGGGATCATTAGAGACTGTCTAGTCTAGAGAAAGTAAGTGTCTGATCCAAGACCACATAGTTGGTGGCCAAGCTAGGCTTAGAATCCAGTCTCCATTATGATTTTGCCAAATTTCCTGGCTCCTGGTTCATCTTATTCTTTTCCACTTCCCCTAATTCATTGCATTAAAACTACTCTAAACCAAAGTAACATAACGTACAAGAGAAAGCCATATGGTATATTTGAGAGATGGTGCAGGGAGTGAGGACAGGATTTCTTAAGTTTCTCTGGAGAAGATTTACAACGAATGTGCTATATAGAAAACAGGGTTTATTTTAGGGAAAAAGTAGAATTTGCAATTTTACTTGCTTTTATTGAAAATTTTTTTCAACCCATAAATTCAAACCTCCTATCTTGATTTTAAGTTAGCATTCTATTATCTATATCTCTACATTTCTGGCACATTTTTTGGTGTATTTTATTGAAATATAAACATACATTCAAAAAAATGCATGAATTATAAGTGTATAGCTCAATTAATGTTCACAAATTGAAAGTACATGTGTAATCAGCACCCAGATCAAGAAATAGAATATGACCAGAAACTCCCTCATGTCCTTATCTGGTCACTACTCTGCACCCCGAAGAGAAGCCACTATCCTGACATCTAGCAGAGGCAGTTTTACCTCTTTTTCAATGTATATAAAGTAGAATCATACAATATGTGACCTTTTATGTCTGCCTTCTTTCTTTCAATATTATATTTATGAGACTGCTCTGTTTCTTGGACTTTTACAGCCTTGCTTTAAGTCTGTTCCTTTTTTCCTACCCGGTTTTAGCATCTTTGGAGAATTCAAGTAGCTTAAAGACAACTAGTAGCAATAATCTCACATTTTGGGACAGAACAGATGGCAGTCTGAAAGTGTTCCTTGTGTAAGTAGAACCTAACAATTATTGATTGCTACATGGTGCTGTGAAAATATATATGGTGCTGTAGAAATAAAACAAACACCCTTAATGTGTAGGACTTTTTTATTCTATCCAAATAAAAATGCTGTGACTGCCATGTCTGGATTTTTACAAACTAAAATCCAAAGGTGAGTCTGTTAACAGATCAGCAAGCCCTCCTGGCTGAAGTCTAACACTTGGAAGAGCCAGTGTGTGTGCATTTGCCTCATCCAAGTAAAATCCCCACTCCACACCCCAATGTGGTTTGTACTACAGGAAGAAGAGTTGGATTACATTACATGAATACAGACAGTACTTTCAGGGCTTATGGTTTTTTTGTCAAAAATATCTTGTACTTCTAATCTGTCAAGTTCACACTAAGGGCTGAGAACCTTGCTTCAGTTGCAGAAGCCATAGCTGAATAGAATGACATGCTTTTGGGTAGGGATTCTTAACCTGGGGTCCCTGGATAGGCTTCAGGGGAGTCCTCCAAATCCTCAAATACGCAGGTTTCACCAGATTCTACTATCTTAAATGGGAATGGACACTAGGCTAATGATTCATATCAGTCTGAAATTATTTTCTTGGCCCCATTGCTTATTTAATAGTATTAGTGAGAAACGTTATTAACAAACTCAGCCTAATTGTTCCCAGATTAACCTTTGAAACTTCTTAAAACAATTCCCAGATCCCAGAGTGGTTACAGACATTTGGCTAACAGGTAAGGATAAGTACCTGCCAGCAGGTATGGGGAGACTTTCTTTCCAGGATGTACTGAGTTAAGGGTGAAGGTTCAAGTTCATATTTGTCAAAGGGAAGTTTGTCTATTACCATTGGCTCACAATCTACACAGGAGAACCTCACAACAGGATGAGATGTTCGTGGAGGCTAAAAAACAAGAGGGGAAAACATGGTCTGTTATCAAGCAAGCTCACATTTCTGACAATTCTGCAACCCCTTTCATGTTCTGTTAAACCATCACTGAGATACAGAGTAGTGTTTTGAGAAAGAAGGCTTCTGATCTCTAGGCATCACCAATGGCTTCCATGGGAGGAGGGGACTCAGATTCTTTATCTCTATCATCTACTCAGCACTGGGAAGAGGAAAGGTAAATTATAACACTCATAACTACAATTTCAGTGAAGTAAAAAGTAAAAATAAAAAATAAAACTGCTTTGAATATGTTTGAGAAGTCATTATGATCCGTAGGATGAACTCTGAATTTCAGATCCACTTTGCGACCTCCAAACCTTACCTGCTCTTTCTTCCTTTGTACCAAGAGGTTATAGTCCAGATACTGCCAGGAAAGAAGAAATCCATGAAGATGTCTAACGAGGCAATGACAGAGCTAGAGCCACTAACAATCAAGATGAAAAATTGTAATGGCATGGAAAGGGCAAGAGAGACCAAATACGAGCCACTCACAACTCCAGGGCCCAGTTGAATTTTTTTTTTTCAGTTGAATTTTTACAGAATTTCTCACACCCATATGCTTGCCTTGAACAGCTGGAGCTGGGGATGCTTTTAGTCGGGCTGCAAAGGCCTATGTGCCTGGGGTACCAGAGCAGATTGATGGAGCAGCCATTTTAGGAACAGGTTTAGCTTGTGGGAATGGAGAGCGCCAGAGAGAGAAATGGTGGCAGCAAGCGCAATATGGACAGATAAGGAGACAGGACAAATCCCAGGGACAAGGGTGAGACATGGCTCCACCTATTCTTGCTGAGAGATCTGTAAAGCCAATATGAACACGATAAAACATCTCTGTGTCCTTTATAATAGGGAAAAACATGTTCATTTGCCTTTATAATTTACAAACCTACACCATGTTTTAGGAGCTGAGAAAAATAGTTCTCATATGTGCTTTTATAGCTGGAGGAATGGTAACATGAGCTATGTGTGAGTTACCTCGAATATCTTTTATTCCAGTTTTTCCTGATTTTAATTTTAATTAAGCTTCAGAAATATCTCTGGCTTATTAGATTTAAACCTATAAAAAAGCGATAAGGACATGAGTGAAGCCCCATTACTACAAATTCGTAACTAAAACATTGACTCTGGGGTTTGAAAGGGCTGAGAGTAACTGGGCACTGAGATTTGGCAAGTGTGCCACCTTGGAGCCCTGAGGGAAGGAGGAGGCACTTCACCCTCACTCACAGCAGGGGCTGAAATGGCTCTTCAGTTGGACATTCAGGCCTTTCATGGCTACTCTTGAAAAAATGCAGGAACCTAAAAATAGTAATCCAGGAGAAAATGCAGTTCATGTCAGAATTTTCTAAAACTTAGACAGAATATAGATTAGCTGAACCAGGAGGCACTAAACTGGAGGAGTAGTGACCTTTTTGTGCCTCCTCCCCCCACACAAGAAGGATTACTCTGGCCTTTTTCTATTGGCTGGCGGGTGGGAGGAAGATGAAAGGGAGCGTGGGTTTCATATGGCTTCCCTTTTTACTAGACACCACCCCTTCCCCCACAAAAGTCAATTCATCCCGTACCAGGAGCAACCAACTACAATATCAAATCCTCTCCTACCAAATGCAGTGAACAAAAAGACAAGTCCTTGCTTAGAGATCATTTTAAAAATATTGTTTAATTACCCATCATTGAAAGGTGCATTGCCAAGGAACACAAGTCCATTGATTGCAAAAAATGAAAAGTAGTTCCACAAAGCTCCATTAGGTGTCTAACGACTCCCTAAAAGGAAGTAGAATGACCTCTGTTTTGAATATGTTTCCAGAACCTATACAAGGTGCCACCTAAGTTCTAATTTCCTGAGGATGTACGTGAAAATCAACGTCAGCACTTTTTAGCCATTGTGTTTACCATGTAAATCAAGTCAGCTACTCTGAAACAAAAACCAAGTCACAGATCACAATAGCATCAAAGATAACAATGCTTTAATATCCAAAGAGGGCAGTTCAATTGGCAAAGACAACTGGAAGAAAGAATGCCAGAAGAGAAAAGAAGTCCTCTCTTGCTTTTGAGTACAAGCTAGATTTCCAGCAAGAGACAGAAGGCATGGCTTAAAAACCTCAAAGCTATTTTAAAAGGTTCACTGTAATCAGCAAATCGAAAATCCAGAATGATGTTTACCTTTTTGTTTTATGACACTTACTAGTGAAGGTAAATTCTGATCTGGCCAAAAAGATTCTGGAATTGGCCAATGTCCAACAGGAACACCAGTTTTAGAGTTAGGTCGTACATAAATGAGCTTATGACAACTATGCCATGGTTGAGCAGCAAACGAATTGCTTGGCCTAGATGCATCCATAAGTCCATCTAAAAGTGAAACAAAAGACAGATTAAGGCATGAATTTCTTTTTACAGCTGCTGATGTTCTTGTCCAAGTTTTTCAGCTCAAAGCAAAGTACAAAACAAAACCAAAACAGTGATTCATGAAAAATGGAAGAAAAAAAGCAACTCTACTAAAATTTCTGAATGTTCTTTGCAGCAACTCTTTCACCTAATCCATCCCCTCTAATCCAACATCGCACCCCCCTCATCCTTAACTACAACCAAGATGTGTAGTTACATGGAAAACTATTGTAAAATTAGTTTTACATTTTCTGAGATTTGGACACACAAATTAAACTCACCAAACCACTACAGTTAATTTTCCAAATTAGGCAAATGAAATTGTTCATGCCTGGTATAGTTCTACATTTTTGGAATCTGACAAAATAGGTCATAAATTCTATTTAGATTTTCTTCCTATTCCCAATTAGATGAAAAAAGTATTCTTTACTAAACAGTGAGACCCAATGACCACAAAGGCAAAATAAAAACTATCCAAATTCACGCAAAGGTAGAAAGAATGTGATGATACAGTCCATGTATATAGTTGGGGAACAGAACACAAAGCAAATGCATCCAGTTTATTGTGGACTAATTCATTATAGTTTTGCCATCCACCATTCAAATTCCATGGAAACTGGGCACTGTATAATGCTAAATAATGTATCCAGAATGCATTTTAATTATTTAAACTAGCATATTTCATTTGCCCCCAAAACAGGGCAAGGCAGAGTTACATAAACCTTTAATGCAATGATTCATTAGTCTAAATTATATTTGTAAAAGATATGTTTTAATAATTTGAATCTCATTTTTCTTAAATGACAGGTCATTTGATTTATTTATTTAAGCATTACTTTAAACGAGTAATTACTTTAGACCAGGAGATTTACTGGGCTCCATGGAGCTCTAGGGAGGACATGTAATAGCTTCCAGGGACTAAGAGACCCCCCTGAAGTTGAGCTCACAATTCTGAGGATGCGCATTTCTCTGAGGAGAGAGTTCTTAGCTTTCATCACAATCTCAAAAGTTAAGAACTCTGGACAAAGGGGAAATGAAGCTAGAAAGAAAATCTGAGCTATTTACATGACATCGAATCCAATAGGTTTTCAGTATGAAAGTTCCCAGGTCACGTTAAGGTAATGAACACAAAATTAGGGATTGAGCAGTCAGTCATTCACGATATAACATGTTCTTCCTTTATGATTAATTTAATTTAACATAAGCTGTGAAGCCTCAGTCTTCTATGGTGGTCTTCTTAAATTGGAGTCCAAGAAACCCCTGAAATTAAATAAAAATTGTGTGTGTGTGGCCTATTTTTCTAGGGCAAGGGGTCTCCATTTTTCCAACAGCTTCTCAAAGGATTCTGGGAACTAAACAGCAAAAAGGTCAGGAAGTACATGATCCACTGCTTCAGACTGAAATGTGTTGTCTTTCTGCCCCTGTGTACTTGTTCCCTTTGCTTCCCTAGGCAGCTACCACTGATTGTGGCCACGGCAATTAAAATGTGTGGATCAGATTAGACAAGCACCATGGTAATGACGGAGTCTAGGTACACACATGTATGTATGTGTGTGAACTGGCAGGAATGAGCAGAAGCAATAGCCTAACAGTGCTGCGAGGAAGCCTTGCGATACGATTTGAGGGAGAAGGTCCCTTCCCCTATACAAAAGGAGCTCTGCTTTCATCTCTTTTGAGATGTTGAACTTCCTGTAAAATCTCATCTGAAGAGAAAAGGCTCTGCAGTTAAAAAGTGGCCAGGAAAATACTGATATAGGATCTTATGGAATAAAAGCAGTTCCTGGATAAACATTCACAATCTCTTGCTGATGTGCGGTAACACGGATTTCATAAAGATAGCTTGGCACATTTGGCGCTCACAAGATCAAAACCAGATTACTAGTTAAGTGGCACTCTGTAGTGAATCTCCAGATATTTTGTGAATAGGGAGGTGAATAATTCAGTGTCATCCCAAGACTTGGACTAGGTAGTATGAAATGGGTAGGGAAAAGGAAGAATTTTCTCAGGAAGATTTGACATTGAATTAAAGTCGTTAGAATTTGGCTACCTGACATACACAGGCAATGAATGAATGGTAGTTGTTTGGGTGGATGTAACCACTTGAATGTGTGTGGACAGTGAAGACTGTGTCTATTATGATTAGTTTGTCTTCCCAATGTCAGACCATTCTCCCATATAACACTTTAGGGCAGAAAAAGTCATCTACTGTACCTTCTCCAATGGGAAGTGGATCTGGTCCCGTTTTTTCAAAGTTAATAACTACACCACTCTGAACTTTTTGAACTAGAGATTCTAAACATTGATTCAACATTCTTTGTGTTCTAACACAGTAGGAGCGACCTATACCAGAAGGAAAAACAAACAGTACAAGTTTGATCAAATAAAATACTATTTAACAATACAAGCATTTGAAATCCTAAACTGTAACTTGAAATAATCATAAATACATTGGCAGCAAACATTACACTAATGTTGAGCTTAAGCAGCAGAGTTAAAAGATTCTGAAAAAAAAAAAACATGTAAAGACTGGATATAGCATTTCAGAAAAATTATACTCTGCTGTCCTGAATTCTTCCTTTAGAAATATTAAATATTGCCACTACCTCCTGTGACTTCACACATCTGTGTGATGGCAGATTCATCAGTTGGTACACTCCCTAGTTGCTCTGGTTCAGTAGAAGCCAATCCAGGCAAACGCAACACCAGGGCAAATAACCTTTGATCCCAACGAAAAGGTTCTTTGGTTAGTTCACTTCCAGGCAGAGGAGAATTCAAAGGAAGATGAAGCTGATAAGGCAAAATTCGAAAAGTTTCATCATAACAACCCATACAAAAACGAAGAAAGGGAAAGAGTTAAAGGGTTCACTTTTCTTTCATGTACTCAATAAAATGAAGCAATCTTTCAAGGATTACTAAGATGGAAGGTTTGATCAAACTTATTCGTAACTGGAAATTTATGCCTCCCACAGAAATAGCTACATGTTCTCTGCCATTTAAACGAAATTTTAAAAAATGAAATCTCACCTCTTCTTGAACACCAGCAGTACTTGTTAACTTGTTTCCATCTGTGATGGTAATTAAAATAGATGGTTCTAAAAAAAATGGATTTCTCCCCTAAAATACATTTAAAAAGTATTAGAACCGTGTAAAGTAATAAAATTGTATTTACACTTTTACATTTGTGTTGCCAGTGATCTCTCAAGTGTGTGATAAAATTTGCCTGGATAAATAAGAAGGAAAAGATTAGGGACTGAAGTGGGTGGGAATCAAAATAACAATCCCTGAAAAGGTAACATTCAGAATAAACTCAGGAATTCTTATAATTCAGAACTCCCTAAACTATAACATCCAAATACCCCTCTCCCTCTGCTTTCCAAGTAATCATAAAAGATATTAAAGAGATTGTCATGGCAACATCATCCACACCCGTGAATCCATTCACCTGAGTCAAAATCCAGGCACAGATAGGCGGACATTAGTGACGTACGCTCTGCAACCTGGAGAGTGACTCTGGTTATTGGGAGCAGAGTTTTTACAGTAGGAAAGGACAATGGTAGCAGCAGCAAATGCTATTCTGCCTTCCTCTTATTCTAGAGCTTTTTCATTGAATTGAGAGGGACGAGGGAGTTAAGGACACTGAAAGTTTTTCTTCAATAGTCTTGGTTTCAGTATTTCTCAGCAATGTATTCATCCCATTCTCAGATATCTGACCATCTGATGGGTAGGAAATTTCAACTCTTTTATGATCAAGCCACGTACAAGACCCCAAAAAGGAGGGATTTTTTTTAAGTGTGTATTTAAAAGATATATGAACCTCCTTTTGGAAGTTACGAAAAGTAGCAGAAAACGTAACCATGCCCAATTTTAAATTCTTACCCCAAGTCACCAAAATAAATTAGCTGTACTCACTCAAAATTTTTTTTACCTGTCCATAATTGTCTATTCCAGATATTAATCTATTGAGATTTAACAAATCAAATGAGGATCTTAGAGCCTGACCAAGAGTAGTCAGTCCAGAAGCCTGAAGATTTTTTAGTTCACTCATGAATGTTGCGTGATTTTCCTTCCAACCAGCCTGAAAACCAAACATTTACAAAGAAATTCCCAATTATACAATGAACAATATATAAAGTGCAAACAACCACTAAACAGCAAGTACCAAACCTCTAACAAATTAATAGTTCCTTAATCTAATTCTATTCTATTCTAATTCTTGACTGATCAAGTGGAACTAAAGCAAGTAGTCAGTTTCAGAAAGATCTGCCAGCATTAATGATCAAGAGCAAAGATACAAACAATGCAATCATCCATTATGGTCGGAGGGCTTTGGCTCAAGAAGTCCAGTTTTCTATTCAGGCTCAATCAAACCTACCAAAACACCTGGATATTTACCTTAGTTTGACACTGATGATGCGCTGGAGTAAGGGGGAGAGGAAAGAGTAATTATTTAAATGCATTGTCTTTGATAGAGACAATTAGCTACTGAGTGTCTGAGCTACATGAACTTTTCTAACCAAGATGCTTCTTCCCAAACAATATTTTCACTTTAAAGAATAGAGTAAAGGGGGAATTACAGGAATAGAGCCACAACTATTTGGAGACAAGCCTTCTGGCATCGTCAAGCATTCAGAAAGCCCCAAATCTAGAACAAGCGAGAAAGAAAAGAAACAAAAAAGTTTTGGGAAAAAAGCAGCATCCCCTAGGTACCCCCAGCAGCTATGAACAGCAGCAAAGAATCAAAGGCTCAAGGTCAACAGCCAACATGCTGTGATTGAATGGTTTGTAGAATAGAAGGAAAGAATCATGTTGACTGGTCAGTGATGGCTATAAAAACAAAGCAGCACAAAACGCCAAGAAAAGAAGCCAAAAGAAGATGGCAGCTAACAGCATGTCGTGGAGGAGTAGGCCAGCAAGGGAGAGAGCAGACAGTAGAGCCTGGCAACTTGGTGGGACAACCACCCGAGTCTTGGTAGCCCTGAGGGCAGCAGTGTGATACGATAAATACTGAAGTCGTGCCAACCAGGCCAGTACAGCTGGAGGTGGGAAGCAAGAGCAAACAATACCGAGATAAAGTGAATGCTTTCTATTTCATGTTTAGCTGAAGGCATACTGTCCATTATCCATACAACCATAAATTATCTTTTCAAGTTTCATAGTCTCCTGAAGCAGTCTAGATCAGAACGACTGAGAGGCAGAAAAGGGGCAGATCATTGCCTGCACCCTACCATGAAATATCTGTGTGACCTTGAGCAAACCTGTTGGCTCTTAGGACCTAAATCTCCTTATCTGAAAATGAAGAGGATTAGATAAACAGGGACACCGTATAAGGCTGTGCATGATACAGCCCTGGGGGAGAGTCATTCACATTGTAATCCATAAGAATGGCGCCCCCTAAGGTTGAACAGTGCACAACCTGCATAACCATACAAGGTGAAGGTGGTCCTGGTTAAGATCCATTCCAGTCCAATAGTCTGGGATTCTGTGAAATTAAAGATGTGCTTAAAAATGTTCTCTTAGGGGCCGGCCCCGTGCCTTGGCAGTTAAGTGCTCGCGCTCCACTACTGGCGGCCCGGGGTTCGGATCCCGGGCGCCCACTGACGCACCGCTTCTCTGGCCATGCTGAGGCCACGTCCCACATACAGACAGCAACCAAAAGGATGTGCAACTATGATGTACAACTATCTACTGGGGCTTTGGGGAAAAAAAAACTGATCAGAACCCTTAAAAAAAAAATGTGCTCTTAACATTTCACAGATATTAGTGACAACCAGAGCAGTGACCATTAACAATAAGACCTACATTCAGGCATTAAAGATCTAAAAGATCTAAAGAGAAGACTAGAGATAATTATGACAAAAGACCAACTTAATTTAAGAGATAAAATCAAATTTGATATTTCTAAAATTAGAAAAACATAAGAAATATCAGTTCTGTCAAAAGTCAGTACTAAGTCATTATGCACGTGAACATTTATTTTTAGTTTATTTTGGCTGCATTTCCTATTAATAAAATTATACGGTGTTTTCTCAATAAAAAAAAAGATGTGCTTAGTTTTTTTTTTCTTAACTATCCCTAACATATCCTAAGGTAAAATCTTTCCACGTGTTCCTTTGGCCAGATTGTATATACGACTTTTAGTACTTGGAGAAAGCAGGGCATGAGAATAATTCTTTGTGGCCCAAGGAAAATCTTACCGGACCAGGTAAACTAAACTTTAGTTAAAAGGAAGGATTATGATTTAAATTGTTCTCATCAAATACCTAGAAATATCAGCAGGTGATTACAAATCACACTGAATTCAAAAATTAGCTTTCTTCTTTGTGGTAGAAGAGAAAGGTGTACAGTTGGGAGGGATAGCCCCAATTCTTTATTCAACAGATTTTTACGGACCAACTATGCTATGTTGGACAGAATGTTCCATGCTGGGGATATAGAGAGGAATGAGCCCTTGAGGAGCTCCTGCCACAAAGGAATAAGGAATGCAGTTATGGCGACTGAAAGAACAAATGACCAGCAATCTAGGGAGGGCTTCTCACAGAAGATGGGGCATTTGAGGAAGCTAACGGCATGAAGAGAAGATCATGGGACTCCCCACACTGATATGAGGAGCGGACGGGGCAGGCCAAGGGAAGAGAACAGGGAGTTCATAAAAGGATAGGCTTCCTGGGGAACTGCAAGTAATTTGATTATCATTGCTCTGGGTACATGGCAGGAGGCAAGGCTGATAAGTTGGGCTCTGACTGTAAAGTGCTTTGTACATTATGCTCAGTACTTTGAATTTTATCTGTTGGCCCCGATAATAACTTGAGGTTTTTAATTAGAGGAGTGGCATGATCAGATCTGTATTTTAGCTAGATCATTCTGCTGGGAGTTGGAGAATAAATTGTGGGGTGGCTAGGAGGCTGAAGCTTGAGGCAGGGAAACTGGTTTGGAGAATGTTGTAATAGCTTATGAGAAAAGTAATGAAAGCTTCATCGAGGGCACTAGGGATGGAGAGGAGGTTGCAGATTAAAGAAGTATTTCCGAGGTGGAGTCCTAAGAATTTAGTAGCTAATTAGAGGGATAGGTGAGGGAGAAAAGGTCATACGTTAGGTTGAGGTTTCTGGCCTGGGTAGACCTGTGAATGGTGGGGTCCTTCACCCAGAAGCCACTTTACAAAGTTGACTTTTTTTTTCAGAGTTACTTCATTTAGCAATCTTTCTTCCACACTGTAAACTTAGAGTTACATCCACACAAGTGTTGAACTCTTGATAGCCAGAAGATAGCGCAAGGCATGACTAAAGAAAAATTAGTGGACTACTTCATTTGGTAAAGGGCTGGGATAAGATTTGAGTACGACTTAAGCAAACACCCTATAACTCATCAATATTTGAAGTAATGTGTCCTGATTGTTAGCAGTCTTACTACTGTATCTGTCAGAATAACTGCTCTTTAAAATTTCCTTTATAATGTGGATTGAAAGCATTTTACAAATTGTTTCTGCACCTGAATCACCGGCATCCTGTTTTTAGGTCAACTCCAATTCTTTGCAGTAAATTGGACGATACAAGAAATTTGAATGCTACTCCTACATCAGTACTACAAAGTGTATGGTCTACATTCACTACCCAAAACAATAAACTTCTTGGTGACAGTCTAGCTCCTTCAAGAGAAGAACTAAATGTCCCTAAATGTATTCCTCAGAATGCTGAAGGGGAAAAAAGGCCTACAGATTAATATAAATATTTACAGAAACTTATTCATGTGACAAATTTCTTCCAGAAAGATAATTATGAAGAGTGAATGGGAGAAAGTATATGTTTATATTCTTCATTCATTGCTTGGAGTTGATTTTTTTCCTAAATGAATTCAGGACAGCCCATTTGCCTTTTTTTTTTTTTTTTTTGCTGAGGAAGATTCGCCCTGAGCTAACATCTGTTGCCAATTTTCCTCTTTTTTTTGCTTAAGGAAGATTAGCCCTGAGCTAACATCTGTGCCAATCTTCCTCTATTTTGTATGTGGGTTACTGCCAAAGCATGGCCGTTGATGAGGGGTATAGGTCCGCACCCAGGATCCAAATCCACAAACCCAGGCCACCGAAGCGGAGCGCACCGAACTTAACCACCAGGCCACAGGGCCGGCCCCCTATTTGCCTTTTTAATACAGTCTTTTCTTTCAAATTACTCCAAAGATATCCTACTCTTATGTCAGCAAAACCTTTACTCCTGATAACAACATCCATACATTCTTATGGAGCTTGACAGCTTACAAAGCACTTTCACACTTCACATTTGCTTATGACAACTCTATAAAATAGGCATGGGATTACCAGCCTTATTTTGTTTTAACAAACCAGGAAGAAGTAAGACTTAGTATGTCTTGTTTGTGGGGTTGACAGTGGTAGCGAGCCACACTCTGGAGTTGCACTACTACAGTAACCCTTAGTCACATGTGGCTTGAAACGTGGCTAGTCTGACTTGACATATAATGTAAGTATAAAATACACATGGGATTTTGAGGTCTTAGAACACACACACAAAAAGAAAATATCTCCTTATTTATTTTCATGTTGATTACATGTTGAAATGACAATGCTTTGAATATTTTCAATGAAACAAAATATATCACTAAAAGTTTCACCTGTTTAATTTTTAATGCGGCTACTAGAAAATTTTAAATGTTGTGTATGGCTGGCATGATATATCTATTGGACAGAGATGTTGCAGAGGAACCTGAACGTCAGGCAGGAGAGCTCGGCCTTGCTTCGGCAGACAACAGACTCATTATAGATTCTAAGGCAGGGGGAAACAGGATCAAAGCAGTGTCTCAGGAAGGTCAGTCTGGCGGTGACATATAGGACAGAGAAGAGAAGGAGAAACTGTACTTAGGAAAAAGAAGCTAGGAGGCTTAAACAGTAATCCAGGCCTGAGGAAATCAGGGCCCGAATTAGGATGGGAATGAAGAGGAAGGGGTTAATTGAGAAACATTTTAAACAAAGAAGAGAGGACTTGGTGACAGACAGACCATGGGCCTAAAGGAGAGAGAGTAGAAGATGATTACAAAACTTTTCTCCCTCCTCTTGGAGACCTAAAGGAT